CCTTCCCAAGCCTCGGGAATCCGAGCCTGGACAAACCTTTCCTTGTGCTCCGGCTCCCGGGATGAGCGGAACCCTCCGGAGAAAGGCAAGGGAGCCTTGTTATCCTTGTTTTCCTTGTTTTCCTTGTTTTCCTCGTTATTCCAGCACAAAGCCGGGAGCTGGCGGAGCAGCGGCCGCGATGTCCCTCCCCTGCCCCGAAATCTGCCTCAAATCCCGCTTTTTTCCCCCCCAGGTTTTCCTTGGATTTTTCACTCTTCACGCCGGATTCCCTTTTCCAGAGGTTGGGATGATCCCACCGGGAGCCGGGATCCCTCTGGATGAGCCTGCATGGAATTCTCATCCCGGGTCAGTTTTTCCATGCATTTTGGATCGTTTCCTGAATTGATTTCCTCCATCCTCATTCCCATAGAATTCCCAAAGAACCTTCCACGAATTTGATCCGCAGAAATTTTTTGGGATAACGGGTCAAATTCTGGGAGGAAATCCATGGAAGCCGCCACAATCCTCATTCCCAGGCATTCCACAGATTTGACCCACACAGATTTTTTGGGATAATGGGTCAATTTCTCGGAGGAAATCCATGGAAGCTGCTGCAATCCTACAGATTGAAAACCATGGAAACACCTTCCCAGCTTCCAGCGGAGGAATTTGGGGTATCCCACCAAATCCTGGGAATGTTCCCGCCCCTTTCTGGGATCCTCACCTGCCCTGCTCGGCTCCGGGCTGGTCGGCGCCTCCGGATCCCCCGGGATGGACACGGAGCTCAGGGAATCAGGGCTGCTCCAGGAGCCTGGAAAAGAAGGAAACTCTTTGGATCCCAATTTCCAACCGGGATCGATCCCAAAACTGGGGAAAGGGAATAACGATCCGGAGGATTCTGGGATTCGCTCCAGCCCCCAGTGGCATTCCAAGGGTTGGGATCCACAGGGATCCGGCATCGCCGATGGGTCAGGCTTTGCCAAGCGGCATCCCTGGAAATCATGGAATTCTGGAATGGCTCGGGTGGGAATGGACCTTCAATCCCGCCCCATTCCACGGGCATTTCCCCCATCCCAGGTTGCTCCAAGCCCCATCCAAGCTTTCCTTGGACATTCCTGGAATGTGGCTCAGCCTTTTAGGTCATTCCCATTCCCAAATCCAAATGGAATCAACTCCATGACAACGATCCCTGCTCCTGGCACCACCTTATCCCCAAAATCCCCAGCAGCTTCCTGGGATTCCCACAGGGAATTTTGCTGAAGCACGGCTCTTCCCAAGATTTTGGTGGATTTTCCCACAATTTTTCCATAATTTTCCATCATTATTTGCGTAATTTGTTGGAATTTGCACAGCAGGAGTTGCTGGGATAAACCACCACTTTCCAGAGGGGAAAATTCCCAATCGGAATCCCATCGGGATGAGGCTGAGCTCCATGGAATTCTGTTTCTTTGAGGGGAAAAAAAATATTCCAGGTTTTTTCCTAACTTGAGAGGGTTTTAGGGAAGTCAGAGAGGGGGAAAAGTCGGAATGAGCGGGACCAAGCCAGGGGCACATCCATGAGAATTCTGGATCCATAGGGAAGCGGACACAGCTCCCATCCTATTCCTGGAATTCCTTGGATTTTAGATGAGCTTGGAAAAGATGAGGCTGGAAAAGCTTTGGACACAGGGATGTGGCTGCCATCATTCCCAGCATTCCCACATTTCCCATCCAACTGGGAATCTCCCACAGGCAGACCCCAATCTGGGCTCAGATCCTGATTTATTGATCCCGATTTATCCTGATTTATCCCAATTTATTTAGCTTGATTTATCTCGATTTTTCCACTCCAACACCACCTTGGATGTTTGGTTTGGCCACCGGGATGTGGCTGCCATCATTCCCAGCATTCCCACATTCCCACAGGCAGACCCCAATCTGGGCTCAGATCCCGATTTATTGATCCGATTTTTCCTGATTTTTCCTGATTTTTCCACTCCAACACCACCTTGACCGGTCCAGCCTTTCCCTGGCACGGCCTTTCCCGGGCATTCCGCTCCCGGAATTTTTCCCAGCCCCATTCCAGCCGGAGATCCGTGCTGGGAGCCTTCGCCAGCGGGAACAAAGGAGCGCAGGATTTCTGGGAGCGGCCTTGGCACGGCTCCGGCAACGCCAGAATCCATGGATTTGGGGGGCACGGGAGCAGCTGCCTCCTAAATCCAGAGATTCCCCCCCTCCTCCACTGCCGGATTTTGGGAATGACTCGGGAGATAGGAATCCGGGATTGAGCTGCGGGATGAATGGAACTATTCATGGTTTGATAAAATTCCATGGAAAAAAAAAAAAGCGGGAAGAGGGGGGGTGGGAATGAGCCCGCCCGGCCGGGTGTGAGTTACGGATCCCGCTAACGACCCCAGTTCATTCCATTGAATCCCAATTAATTGCACGGAATCCCAATTAATTGCACGGAATCTCAATTAAAGCTCATTAAAAAGCCGAGGGCTGGAGTTGCTTTGGATGAGGGGAATTTTTATTGGAACGGGGATTTTCCTCTTCCAGATTCCAACGGCTCCTTATCCCTGTTCCCAACCGCCAGCGATCCCAAAGATTGGTGACCCCACCTGGGCTTTTCCCAGGTTTTATGGAGAATTTGGGAATGAGGGAAAAAAAGGGGGGGGAAAGGAAAGGAAAGGAAAGGAAAAAGGAAAGGAAAAAGGAAAGGAAAAAGGAAAGGAAAAAGGAAAGGAAAAAGGAAAGGAAAAAGGAAAGGAAAAGGAAAGGAAAGGAAAAGGATTTTAAGGAATCATGAGGCAGGAAATGCCCCACTTCCCACATTCCATGGATTCTCTGTCACTATCCCAGCCCCAGTGTCCAGCCTGGCCTTGGACATTCCAGGGATCCAGGGGCAGCCCCGGCTTCTCTGGGAATTCCATCCCAACCCTTCCCAGGCAGGAATTCCTTCCCAGTATCCCATCCATTCCCTCTGGCACTGGAAGCCATTCCCAGTGTCCTGTCCCTCCATCCCTTATCCCAAATCCCTCTCCAGCTCTCCTGGAGCTCCTTTGGGATATTTGGAATTCTCAAGGACAGGCTGCTCCATCAAATCCATTTTTAGCAACCCCCCGGAGAAGCCTCCATCCTGTATTCCCGGGAAATCAATCCTTGTTCTCCAAATCCCAATTCCCTGCTAACACAGCAGGGAATTGATCCGGTATCAGCTTTTCCATGGATCAGCATTTGCTCCAGCCACAGAATCTGCCCTTCCGAGGCAGCAGAGGACACTGAGAATTCCCACTGGGAATATCCCGGCGTTCCAACCTCCCAGCCATGGAGAACTTCTGCAGGGCATCATTTATTT